ACTTGCGCCCAGCGGCGCGGTGATCCAGCGAGTTGCCCCGATGTTTCGCGGGCGCGTGCGCGTGGAAATCCCGGCTGCCACTTCGCCCCAGGTCAGAAGTGTCGCATTTTCACTCCGGCGACCCGTCGACCCCTCATCGCATTAGTCGACCCCCCTCGTGCCCAGCGAAAGCTTGAGGTCCATCGCGGGCGCGCGCGTTCACTGGGCGTGAACAGCGGCTGCCCCGCGCGCGAACTACGCGACAGACGGGCGTTCATTCTGTGGGGCGGCGTTGAAGCGCGCCCAGGCCGCGCCGGATCCACTCCCGAATCGCGACTGGACAGTTGCTGAATCGTGGTCCACCTGCACGCGGCCAGGCTGCCACTATGGCATAAGCTTCAGGCTGCGCGCAAGCCGCGCCTGCCAAGCGCTGGGAACGCGCCTGAGCCGCGCCTGAAGCACACTTGAACAACATGCGCATCGCGCGACGTTTGCACAAGATGCACCGATCCACGCCTGAACCGCCCCTGAACAATATTTGAGTTTTACCGGAACCGCGTCTGAACCACGCCTGGCCCTTGGCTGACCGACACCTGAAGCGGATGCCAGAGACTCGACGCGCGTTTCGCATACTTGGGTCGCGCCCGCGCCGCAGCTTAACATCGCCTTAAGCACGCCTAAGCCACGCCTGAACCACGCCTGAGCCATGGCTGAACCGCGCCTCATACGGATGCCAAAGTTCCCACTTGCTTTTCGTTTGCTTGAGTCGCGCTCGCGCCACGGTTAAACCGCGACTGAGCCGCGCCTGAACCGCGCCCGAACCATCCCCTTGCATGTCGTTCGCCTGGGCAGCTCCCACGCCGCGGCGGAAACGCGCCTGAACCACGAGTGAACCACGCGTGAGCTACCAGAAGCACGGCTGCTCCTCGGCTGAGCTGCGGTTGAAACGGATGCCAAAGTTTCCGCTGGCATTGCGCTTGCTTGAGTCGCGCCCGTGCGCCGCGGCAGGAAGGCGTCTGAACGTCGCCTGAACCACGCTTTAACCTGGCCAGAACTACGCCTGGAGCATTGCTGAACCACGCCTGAGAGGGATGCCAGAGCTTTTTGTTGCATTTCGCGTGCATGAGTCGCGCTCTCGCCACGCATGAGCCACGCCTGATCTACGCCTGACACGCGCCTGGGCCACGCTGGAACCACGCCTGAATCATGGCTGATCCACACTTCATACGGACTCCAGAGTTCCCACTTGCATTTCCTCTGCTTGAGTCGCGCCCGCGCCGCGGTTGAGCCTCGCCTGAGCCGCGCCCCGAACCGCGCGTGAACCTCGTCTGAAGCATGGCTGACCTACACATAGAATTGGTGCCAGGGTTCCTGGAATTTCACCTAAACCACGCCTGAACCACACTTGCACCACGCCTGAACAAGTGCTGGACACACCTGAAAAGGATGAAAGAGTCATTGCTTTAGTTTCGCGTGCTTGAGCAGCGCCCGCTCCACGGCTGAACTGCGCCTGAAGCGCGCCTGAACCACGCCTGATCCACGCCTGAACAACGCTCGAACCACGGCAGAACCACGCGTGAAACGCGCGACTGCGTTCCGACCTGCATTTCATTTGCATGAGACGCGCCGGCGCCGCGGCCGAACCGCGCCTGAAGCACGCGCGAACAGCGCCTAAATCACAACTGAACCACGCCTGAACCATGCCTGAACGACGCCTGAACCTTGCCAAACGGATGCCAGAGTTCCTGCTTGTGCATCGTTTGCGCGATGCGCGCCCCGCCACGGGCGAACCGCGCCTGAACCGCGCCCGAGCCAAACCTGAACCATGCCTGGGCCATGTCTGAGCGTCGCGCCCGCGACGCAGGTGAACCGCGCCCCGACCACGCCTGAAACGCGCCTGAACCCCACCTGAACCACGCCTGACCCATGTCTGATCCACGCTTGAAACGGCTGCCAAAAATCCTGTTTGCATTTCGTTAACTTACGTCGCGCCCGCGCCACGGTTGAACCGCGCCTGGACCACGCCTGAACCGCTCCCGAGTGCAGATTGCGGGGCCCGCTGCCCCTTTGCGCGCGGCGCCCGCCGCCCGCCGCGAATGGCGCGACGTCGCCTGCAGGGCGGCGCGGCACGGGCGACGCAGGGGCGCGCAGTCCTGTGCCCGCGCGTTTGGCCAGAGAGAAACTCTTTTGACAATCGCTCGGCATGGCGCCCGCGCGCCCCCCTCGAGACCGGATGGCGCCACCTGGCTTGCGACCGCTCGTAATTGGGGCGTCGCGCCAGCCGCGCGCGCATCAAGTTGGATGCGCGCGCCGCCTTGTTGCGCGCGCTGCGGTTGCGCTTGAGCACGGGGCCGCATGCTTTATATTGATCTGCGCGCGGAAGTTTGTGAAGCCAGCGACCGCGCAGCGCCATTTTGCACGGCCGTTTCTGTTCCGACGGGCCCATCGGAGCCCTTGTCTGTCGATGGGCCAGCCCGCTCTCCGCCTCGGCGCCGAGATCGTGGAGCCTTATCGGCGCCGATGCTGGACGAAGAGGCCAGCCTGGACCACGCCTGAACCCTACCTGAGCTACGCTTGAACAGCGCTTGAAGCAATGCTGAACCACACCTCAAACGGGTGGGGGAGTCCAGACTTGCATTTCGTTCGCATGAGTCACGCCCGCACCAGGGCTAAACCGCGACTGAAACACACGCGAACCACACTTGAACCACGCGTGGGCCACGGCTGAACTACACCTGAATCGGATGCTCGAATTCCTGCTTGCGTCGCGTTCGCTTCAGTCGCGCCCGAGCCTCAGCTAAATCCGCGACTGATCCCCGCGTGAATCGCGCCTGAAC